CTGCTGTCAAGTTTGCAAGAAAGCATGAGAAAAGCAGGTTTTGGGGAGACTATCAGGAGTTCAGCTTTGGATGTGATAAATTTGAGATGCCTGTTTGACATTTAAGGGGAAATGTCAAGTAGACAATTGGATTTACGAGTCTGGCATTCAGGGGACGGCCTGAACTGGAGATACACATTTTAGAGTCAACAGGACATAGATGTCTTTAAAGCCATGAGGCTGCACGTGAGAACCAGGAGAAGACATGGAAGAGGTCTGAGCCCTGAGTCCTGGGTAATGTTTAGAGGTCAGGATGAGAAGGAACCAGCAGGGGGTCTGAGGAGTGATCAGAGTGGTAGGATAACACCTGAAAGAATGTGGTGTCCTGGAAGCAAATGAACAAAATGTTTCAAAGGGTACTAATAAACAGTGTCAAACACTGCTGATGGGTCAAGTAAAATAAGGTTGCAAATTGTACTTCCAGCTTTTATAATCAATGCTGTGATGAACATTCTTGTGAATTTCCAAACTTTGTGGAGATTTCTGAGTTCCTTTAGGTACAATTTTGGAAATGTAAAGAAAGTTCAAAGCATTGGCCTGGGCTTAAGACTCTTAATGCAGACCCAGACAAGATTCCCAGGAGGAAAATCCTACAGTCAGAAAGACTGCTTCAGTGAAAGGTGGGTGGGTAGGAGTGGTGAGAAAGCCAGGGGCTCTAGTCCACAATGAGATGACAAGGGCCTGAGCTGGGGGTGTGGCTACAGGAGTAGAAAACAGGTGAGGTAAGGCTTTATAGCATTGCAAAGAAAAAAACCACTGGGCTTAATACCTGGAGAGAGGAGGGAGGAGGGGAAGGAGGACCCATGGATCACACAAGGGTTTCAGATGCTAGAGCTGAGTGGGGTAGGTGGGTGGCTGGCACATTAACCAAGACAAAGAGCAGGAGAGGCTCCTGGTGCTCCTTCTGAGCTCCCCATCTCCTAAGCAGCTGGTTCCATTTTCCTGGAACCTAAAAATTGTTAACGAACCCACAAGGGTGTTTAATGTTGTTTGTCACACAGAAAGTCAATTACTGAGACAATGAGGATTGTCAAGGAAGAAAGGATTTATTTTAGGAGATGTTTCTACTGGAAGGAAGGAGGTATAACCCGTCTCAAATCCACCTATCTGATTAACAGGGTCAGGGGTTTTTTTGGAGGTGAAATTAATAATGTATGAGGGGAGTAAGCACCATTATGTGTTTGGGGTAGAGAGTAGGGCATGCAAGTGTAGTGAGAAATCATGATAGTACATACATCCTATGATCAAAAAATTGCAGATAAGTCTCTTTCAGGGTGGGGATTTTAGTATAATAATGAGTTAGGGGTTAATATTAGTCATTTTTTTAGCCTTGTGTGTAGGCTTAGTGGGTTCTTGGGCATAATCTGTGGTGGGGTATTGCTTATCTTGTCTTTTCTGGACAAATAGGTGGTGTAAGGCATTGTAGTTATCTCATGACTATAAGGAGGCTGCACCATTTCTGGGAAAGAGACTCAAAAGGGAGTGTATCAGTGTAACAGAAAGTTACAAAGTTCTGGTCAGTAAATCTTACTGGTTTAGGAACTCGAAACATAAGAGAATTACGAAAAAAAAAAAAGAATTATACAAAAAGATTATCTTGTTTATGGAGCCAATTACAAGGTGATGATGATGACTATGGTGTTCCCACCATCCCAGAAAGTCCTGTTGGACAGCGCTGATCCGTAACCAAGTCCAAACCAGCACCATCTTTTGTCTGGATGACTCTAATAGCCCCCTAATTGTTGTTCTGGTGGTTTCCAATGCTCCCCCTTTCTAATCCATTCTCCCTATACAAGCCAGAGTTAACTTTAATCAGAAATCAGATTTTGTTACTCTCTGGTTGAAACCTTTGGTGGCTTTTCATCACATGTAGAACAAAATCCAGACTCCTTGCCACATCTACTGCCCTCAATGACCTGCCTTCTGCCTCCCTTATGCCTCATCTTGACCCACCCTCTCCCTCTCTGTCACATCCCAGCCACACTGGCCTTGCTATTCCCTCTACTCTTTGAGCTCTTCTCTGCCTCGGGGCCTTTCCACATGCCCTCTAGCTAGAAGGCTATTCACCTGGCTCTTGGCAAGACTAAGTTTCTTCTCATTCTGTAGGTCTCAGCTCCAGTGTTATTTTCTTTAGACAGTCTTTCCTGACCTCCCTGTCTCAAGGGAGGTTATCATCACATCACCCTATTTATTTCCTTCACTCATTCATCACAAAATCTCATTATTTTGTTAATAGTAATGAACATTTCTGTGCACTGCTTATATGCAAGGCACCATACCAAGGACTTGGCTTTATATGCTTCACTTTATCTATGAATTTACGATTTTACTTTCTGTTCTGGTTTCCCCCTATGTCCCTGGCACCCAGCACAGTGCCTGATGTGCAGTAGGCATTAATAATTATTTTTGAAAATGAATGAATTAATTGAGCACATACTATTGGCCAGGTACTATGCTAAGCACTTTACATATATTGTCTCATTTAATTTGCACAGCAATCCTGTGCAAAGTAGTTACTATTAGTATCCTCCTTTTACAGATGAGGGTCTACATAACTTGTCTAGTTCTCAGGAAAAACTAGGATTTTAATCCAAGTCATCTGACACGTGAGCTCCCTGGGAAGGCACTATAGAGGATCTAGATGCCTGAGCACACACCAGCCTGCAGCCACCCACAGCTCAGACTAGAAGCAGGGAAACTAGAGGCCTCCTTTCTCGAAAGGCTTTCTATTTCAGATTAGGCTGGAGATTCAGGGTGGTCGCTGCTCAATCAGGGGGCAGATTGAGGGCCTGGGTGAGGGCTCAGGCTTGGGCAGAGTCAGGAAAGCTAAATGCTCAAATTCAATTCTGTGGATCCTCAGTGAAGCTGGGGCTTTGGGCCCAGAGACGCCCAGAAACAAGATCCTAAGCCTGGGGTACACCCAGTCTGACTGCTGAATGTGCTGTATCCTTCTGCCTGACACAGATCAAAGATGAGACAGGGAAAACAAAAGTAAAAATGAGCCTCACTAGCACTTGTCCTGGGGAAATATCACATGTCAGGCCTATGACACAGAATGCTGTTATATTAGGCCAAAGTCTTCAAGCTTGTTATCAAGAAAGGTGCTGAGCTGCAAGCCACTACACAGCTTGTTTGGAAACAAATGCAACGCAACATCCATACCCTCCCGGGTCTGAGTGTGCAGTTCCATCATTATCAACATCATTGTGCGTCTGCACTGAACAGATCTGATTGGCATTGGTGCCCTGGAAACAGGTTATATGTGGGTGTGTCCCAGACTCTGCTCATAATCCTCATCTGTATTATTGTTGCTTGAATTTGGAACTTGATTCTGCCTTAATATAGAATTTCTCAAACTTGAATGGTTCCTAAATCAGTTTAACAATTTCCTCTATATCTCTGTGCCACAATGTGTTTATCCATTCAGGCTACTATAACAAAATACTATCAACTGGGTAGGTTATAAATAGCAGAAATGTATTTCTCAGTCTGGAGGGCTGGGAAGTCAAAGATAAAGGAATTGGCAGATTCAGTGTCTGTTGAGGGCCCGATTCTGGTTCAAAATGGTGACTTCTTGCTGTGTCCTCACATGGAGAAAGGGACTGTGTGTTCTCTCTTGGGCCTCTTTTAAAGGGCACTAATCCCATTCACGAAGGCTCTGCCCTCATGATCTAATCCTCTCCCTCCCAGAGACCTACCCCTTAATAGTGTCACCTTGATTTCAACATATAAATTGGGTGGGGGGACACAAACATTCAGATCATAGCACACCAGTACCAGTTTTTACTTAATACCTCTCTAGGAATTGACTCCCCTAGCACAACCACAACTGCAGCTGTATTAACCTTGTCCCCAGCAGTACCTGTGAAATCCCCAAGTTGATAAACTAGCTATATGTTTTCCTAACATGTATTAAAGTAAACCTATAACTCCTTAAAAAATGTTCCTCTGGATTCCACTTAAAATCATCTCAGTGCAACCAGTGGGACCCAAGCCACACTTGGCAAAGCAATTGGTGTCAAAGGGATAGAGGAGACAGCCTGAAAGAGCACCCAATGGCCAAAGCTGGAACAATTTGAGCAGTAAAATAATTAACGTACTATTGGAATATAGCCCAAAGTATAAACTAAATATCCATGACTTGGTACTATTATAAATGATTGAATTATGAAAGGGGAAGAAGAGACAAATCATCCTTAAAGAAGAATTCTAAATAATTTATGTAGACACATCTCCCTTCCAGGGTGTGGAGCTTAATTCCCCCCTTGAGTGTGGGCTGCACTTAGTGACTTGCTTCCAAAGAGTAGAAAGGGAAGACAAATAAGTAACTTCACAGGGTAGAAACCTGGTGAACACCACCTTTGCCAGGTAGTCAGCGTGATGAAGCCCTCTGGATGACATGTAGCCCTAAAAGGATGTGATGAGAAGAGCAGTTTACCTTTATGGTGTCTTTCCTCCAAACCCTAACCCCAGTCTAACCATGAGAAAAACATCAGATGAACCCAAGTTGAGGGACATTCTATAAAACCTGACCAATACTCCTCAAAATTGCCAAAGTCATGAAAAACAAGAAAAGCCTGAGAAATTGTTATAGGCCAGAGGAGACTAAGGAGACATGGTGAGTAAATGTAGTGTGGTGTCCTGGGAGGGACCCAAGAACAGAAAACAGGTATTAGTGGAAAAGCTATGAAATCCAAATAAAGTGTAGGCCTTAGTTAATAGGAATGTACCAATGTTGGTTTCTCAGTTGTGACAAATGCCATAGTAATATATTAACAGTAGGGGAAACTGAGTGAAGGGTAGACAGGAACTCTCTCTGCTATGGGTGTGATGGTTAATTTTATGTGTCAACTAGGAGGGTGGTTTTGAATGAGATCAACATTGAAATCATTGAACTTAGGGTAAAGCAGATTGCCCTCTATAATGAGAGTGGGCCTCATCTGATCAGTTGAAGGCCTGAATAGAATAGGAAACCTGGCTTCCCTAAGCAAGAAGGAATTCTCCAGCAAACTGCCTTCAAACTCCACCTGTACCATCGCTTCTCTTGGGTCATCAGCCTGACATCCACTGTGGATTTGTACTTGCCAGACTCCATAATCAGGTGAGCCAATCTTTTATAATAATTTCTTTTTAAATATATATATATATAAATCTCTTTATATATATTTATATATACATATACACGTGTATATATTATACAGGCTGTTGATTCTATTTCTTTAGAGAACCTCGACTAATACAGTGGGAAATTTCTGTACTCTAAATCAAAGGCTTACATTTATTTTCTGTATATATAAAATTATCTTAAAATAAGTTTATTTTTAAAAGGGGGGGAGCCAGGTGGGTGGCTCATGCCTGTAATCCTAGTACTCTGGGAGGCCAAGGTGGGAGGATCGCTCAAGGTCAGGAGTTCAAAACCAGCCTGAACAAGAGTGAGACCCTGTCTCTACTAAATAGAGAAAGAAATTAATTGGCCAACTAAAAATATATAGAAAAAATTAGCCAGGCATGGTGGCCCACGCCTGTAGTCCCAGCTACTCGGGAGGCTGAGGCAGAAGGATCGCCTGAGCTCAGGAGTTTGACGTTGCTGTGAGCTAGGCTGATGCCACGGCACTCTAGCCAGGGCAACAGAGTGAGACTCTGTCTCAAAAAATAATAATAATAATAAAAATAAAGAAAATAAAAGAGAGAGGGGGAAAAAAGAGGCATGAAGTTTGAAGTTATGTAGACTGGTGTATTTGTTTCCTGTGGGTGCCAGAACAAATGACCACAAACCTCGTAGCTTAAAATAAAAGAAATTTATTCTCTCATACTTCTGGAGGCCATGCATTCAACATTAGTCTCACTGGGCTGAAGTCAATGTGTTGACAGGGCTGTATTCCCTCCAGGTGCTCTAAGGAAAATTCTGTCTTTGCCTCTACCAACTTCTTTCTGGTGGCTGCCAGCAACCCTTGGCTTGTGGCTGCATCACTCTGCCTCCATGTCATGTTGCTTCCTCCTCTTCCATGTGTGTCTATCTAATCTCCCTTTCCCTCTGTCTTATAAGAATATGTGTGATAGCACTTAGGGCCCACTTGGATAATCCTGGATGATCTCCTCATCTCAACATTCTTAACTTAATCACATCTGCAAAAATCCTTTTCTCAAATAAGGTCACATTTACAGACAGGTTCCAGAGATTTAGGACTTGATATCTTTGGATGGTCATTATTTAGCCTACTAAAACCTGGCTGTGTGAAAGTTAGGACTTCTATAGTATCAATAAACCTCCTCTATAATTGAAAATAAAAACTACATTACCTATTTTTTTTTAAATGCTTATCTGGGTTCCACCTGAAATAATCTCGGTGTGACCAGTGGGACCCAAGCCACACTTTGCAAAACTGTTGGTGGCTGGTGTTAGAAGTCAGACAGTTCTACATTCTAAATCTGGTTCCACCACACCCCAGCTTGTGACCTGGTTAAGTCAACACACTCCTTGAAGTGCATCTCCTTATCTGTACAAGAGGATGCTAGCCCTGCCTCAGAGGAACGCTGTCAGAACTCCTGTAGACCACGTAGCAGTTGCATAACAGAGTGAACATTCTCTTCCTTCCCCCTCCATGTTATAGAGTTTGTTACACTTCATGAAGTATTTTCTACATACAATAACATTTGATCTCCATAAAATTTCATGCTTTGAGATAAAGCCACAGTTTTCCTTCTCAGTATTACAATGGAGAAGCTGAGACTCCATGTCAATGGACTTGGCTAACTTCACCTAACTAGAGGACTAGACACCTGGTTGTCTGGGGACACAGCAGGGACAAAGAAAGAGGCAGTTGCCCCTTTAGATGGGGCAGTTTTGCCGATCTGGCTATTTGACTCCTTCTCATCACTTTTGTTACCTTTCTGGCCCCTTTAGGCACTTGGGTTTAGAACTCGTGATAAGTTTCTAACTCTGAGTCATGCTGCTAGAACTTGATTATAGACCTTTGACTTTAAGCCATGCTCATGGGGATCCCCAGTAACAGCCCACCTAGTTTTCCAGTGGCCTGTTGGCCCTGGCTTCTCTGATCTCACAGGCTTCCCCTTCTCTGAAGACTGAGACTGAGACAGACCCATAATATGTCCTCAGGTTTGGGTTTGGCTAGGTTCTCGGTTCTGATAGTTCCCTATTCTGAGTCCTCAAGGCAGAGACTCCTATAGGACCCTCCTGCTGCAGGGCCCAGCATAGGGCTGGGTGTCTGGAAGCAGATCTGGGAGGGGATTCACCCTGGGCTCTCAGGAGGTCACAAGGAGAGGCCCTTGTGTGTTGAGGGCCCACATGCCAGTATTTCAGGAGTCAGACTGCCTGGGATCCAATCCTGGCTCCCGTACCTCACAGCCCCTGACCCACCAGAGCCCTCTGTGTCTGTTTCTTTATCTGTAAAAAGGGAATCATTATAGAACCTCAGAGGAATACTGTAAGGCTCAACATAATAAAGCTTTCATTACAGTGCTTGGTACAAGGTGAGTACACTCGCCCTTGCCATTATTAAGCCAAAGTCTTAATAATGGCATATCATATCGCTGCATGGGCTGTTCTCTCTTCTGGATATGCCCTCTCTGCCTAGAGAGATTTGATTTCTCCTGAGGGGCAGTGCAGGGTCAGGGGAGCAGCTGGGGATCTGGAGGCTCTGGGTCTCTGGTCTTTGTCACTTTTTGCTGTGTAGCCTTATGTGAGTCATTCCCAGCCTGTCAATCATCCCCACCTGTACAGGGGATGATAAAGTGCCCACCCCACAGCGGGACTCTGCCGCTGTGCGGGGCGCGGCCTGCTGAACCCACAGGCCATTTCTAGAAAGTCCGCCCTAGGGCCAGGACCTCTACGCTGCAGACGCTGGGGCGCCCCAGGGCGGGAAAGGAAGGACTTGGGGCCAGGGACCCGGCTGCTATGGCAACGCCCGGAGGCTGCAGGGCAGGGGTTGGGGGCGTGGAAGGCAGGGCGGACCCGCCCAGAATGACGAGGCCCCGCCCCGGAACGTGCCTCTGGCCCAGGGCAAGGCCCCGCCTCCAGACGAGGCTCCGCCCAGAACGAGGCCCCCGCGGGCCCCACTGAGGCGCTCTCCCTCGCGCCCAGTGCCTGCCCCGCGGCACCTGAGCGACCGTCTGACTGACCACAGAAGCCACCACTGCCTGATAACCCGAGTGTGTCAGGCTATGTCTGACTGAACACAGATTTCACGGGCGCCTGACAGATCAAGTCTGCTGGATCTGTCCGCCCGACCGCAGCTGACTGACTGGCTGCGCTCACCTGGCCGACTGCATCTGTGCCTGACGAGGTGTGTCTGACTGAGGCGGCCTAACTGCCGCCGACTGACCACACTCCATCTGTGCTTGACAAGCTGCGTCTGCCTGGCCACCGCCTGCTGACCGCGTCCGTCCGGGCCAGCGGCGTGACCACATCTCTGCTTGGCGGGCGGACCCGGACGACCCTGGGCCTGTGTGCCCTGGCTGGCTCCGGGGACTACTCGCCCGGGAGGCGTCGGGAGGTCGGGGCAGCACCCCTGTTGACCACATCTGCCCGACGCTGCTGACCCCGACCACAGCTGAGTCAGGGGGTTCGGAAGGACTCAGTGGCCTGACCGTCCCTCCCTGACCACCTCAGTCTGACTCGGCTTGACTGACCCCAGCATCTGCGTCTGACGCCGGCCTGGCCGACGTGACAGCTGGCCAGCGCTGGCCGCATGTCCTCCGCGCAGTAGCCACTCAGTGAACGCGTGAATCGCACTGCCCGCCTGGAGTGCGGCTGACCGGCTACATCGGACTAACTCACAGCCACTTTCACTCCAGTTGCCCTGCGAGGGCTTCTGAGGTGCTGCTCGTCCAGGCATCTGGGCCTGGACATCTTCAGCTACAAGTACAAGTCTGGGCCTTCAGAGGTCGCAAACAAGAACACCAGCAAGGAAGGGAGCCCAGGACAGGCAGAGGGACGCCTGGCAGTAGGGGGAGGACTTGGGTCCTGGTGAAGAATGGCTTCTGCTCTGGGAAGAGTTGCTGTGTACCAGAATAAGGGGGAAGGAAATACTGGTTAGCAGGATTTATTTATTTATTTATTTACTAACTGTAACCTGGGCTCAAGTGAGCCTTCTACCTCAGCCCCTGAGCAGCCGGGACTACAGGCGTGCACCACCACGCCCAGCTAATTAAAAAAAATTGTTTTTTTTTTTTTTTTAGAAACAGGGTCTCCCTATGTCACCCAGGCTGGTCTCAAACTTCTGACCATGAGTGATCCTCCCGCCTTGGCCTTCCAAACTACTAGGATTACAGGTGTGAGCCACTGTGAAGGGATAGGATTTTTTCTTTTTTTTTAACAGTCTCTGTTGCCTGGGCTAGAGTGCCATGTGACAGCCTAGGTCGGGTCAGCCTAGCTCACAGCAACCTCAAACTCCTGGACTCCAGTGATCCTCCTGCCTCAGTCTCCTGAGTAGCTGGGACTACAGGCATGTACCTGGCTAATTTTTTCTATTTTTAATAGAGACGGGGTCTTGCTCTTACTCAAGTTGGTCTTGAACTCCTGACCTCAAGTGATCCTCCTGCCTCAGCCTCCCAGAGTGCTAGGATTACAGGTGTGAGCCACTGCACCCAGCCCAGGATTCTTTTTTTAAAGCAAGTATGTCAATTGCATGGGTATGCTATGAGTTATAGCTATTGCTATCAATAATAATAAAATGAGAGCATTGAACTAGTTTATCTCAAATGAGCTCTAGCATGCTAAGATATTATCTATCCATTAATAATGGGGCCTAGCTGCCTCATTGATTTCATTAAATGCCAAGGGAGGAATGGGAGGAAATGAACAGCTTCATTCCCAAGGGCTCTCACAGCATGAATTTGGATCTCAGCCAGTGTGGGTAGTGGGGCTTCCCAGGGCAGGGGACTCCCACGGGGCTGGGAAAAGAGGCAGCACCAAGATGCATGGAGCACTTTTAATTCATTTATTTCTTCATTCAACAAGTATTTATTGAGTACCATGTGCCAAGCACTGTGCTAGACTCTTACCCTGTCCTCATGCAGTAGACTCATGGGCTCCAGGAAGCCTTTCCTGTGTCTCTCAACCCTGGTCCCATCAAAGCCAAGTGCTGAATACCAACTCCTTTCTTTCTGGGCTATCTGAACAGCTATAGTGGGAGAACAAGCAGAGTACAGTGGTTCTCAAAGTGTGGTCCTTGGACAAGAAGTATCAGGACCACCTGGGAACTTATTAAAATACAAATTCTCATGCCCCAACATAGATGAACTGAATCAGAAACTCTTAGGGTAGAGCACAGTAGTCTATGTTTTAACAAGCCCTCCAGGTGATGCTAAAGTCTGAGAATCACTGGTAGAACTTGAGTCTGGTGGCTCTGGTGTCAGACTGTCCATATTGGAATCTCAACTCTATTATATAAAGAGCTGTGTGATTTTGACCAAGTCATTGAATCATTTTGTGCCTCGATTTTCTCATTTGCAAAATTGGTATAATTTTGATTGCCTTTAACTATTGTTGAGTATTAAATTGTATAAAGAGCTTGGCACATAATTTAAATTCTAGGAATGTATACTGTGGACATACTCTTGCATGTGCTGAATGATATATACAAAGGATATTCATTGATGTATTGTTTATAATAGAAAAGAAATACACTAAATATAAATTAGTAGGGAACTGATTTAAAAAAAAATCATAGTTCTGGCCGGATGCAGTGGCTCATGCCTGTAATCCTAGCATTTTGGGAGGCTGAGCCAGGAGGATTGCTTGAGGCCAGGAGTTTGAGACCAGCCTGAATGACGTAGTGAGACTCCCTCTCTACAAAAATATTTAAAAATTAGTTGAGTGTGGTGGCGCGTGTCTGTAGTCCCAGCCACTGAGGAGGCTGAGGCAGGAGGATCGCTTGAGCCCAGGAGATTAAGGTTGCAGTGAGATATGATGATGTCAGTGCACTCTAGCCAAAGCAACAGGGCCAGACCTTGCCTCTAAATAAATAAATAAATAATCATGGTCCTGTCATAAAAAGAATGAGGCAGCTTTTTATATACTCATATGAAAAGATCTCCAGAATTTCCAAGTTAAAAGAACAAGGTACAGAACAGTGTTCTAGTATGTTCCCATTTCTGTAAAGAAAAAGAATCTTTATAGAATTTTTATACAGGTATAGGCTCATATATGCATAGATTATCTCAAAGGATACTCAAGAAACTGGTAAGAATGGGAGAAGAAATGGATGGCCAGAAATAGGCGAAAGAGGGACACTTTATTTTTACCATACATATGTCCTTTTATGACTTTTAAATTTCACAGTGTGTGTATGCACACAAGAAGGAAGTTTTAAAAAAAGGAGGAGTACTTGGCACAGTGTCTGACAGCAGCAGCAGTGTGATGATAGCCATTCAGCAGCTGTGGGCAGATAACTCACTGCAGAAATGCATCACAGATACCTGGGGTTTGGCTACTACCTTCAGACTGCAGTCCCAGCTTCTCAGTCTCCCCTCTTCATTCTATATGGTCCGTGTTTCCCCAACAGAAAGCACTTGCATTTCAGAGATGGAAGGGGCTTCAAGATTCTGTAGTGTAATGCTTTTATTTTAAAGATGAAGAAACTAAGCCCAAGAGAGATGCCATAACCAGCCCAAAGTTATCCAGAGGATTAGGGCTAAATATAGGGCCTCTATCACACCCTTCTAAGACTAAGCTTTCTAAAATTCTGCCTTCACCATCATTCCCTATGACTCCTTGACCTGGGCTGTTAAGACTAGTCATGGTTTAACTTCCAGCCAAACTTTCCAGCCTTATTTTCCACCCTTTCCTCTGTGAATTCTCTACCCTAGCCAGATAGGTCTCTTCATTGACACCAAATGCTCCTGCTTTCCAGATGCCATACCTTGTCAGTGCTGTGCCCTCTGCCTGAAATGCCTTTCTCCTTCCTTTTCATTTGTGGAAATTACACCTAAACATAGTGGCTAAGCTTAAATTATGCTTCCTCCAAAAAGTCTTCCCCGATTACTCCAGCTCACAGAGCTCTCTCCTTCCTCTAAACTAATTTAAAACTGTCTTGCAAAACTGCTCCTTAAGAAGGATATAGGATGGTTGTCTGCTCCTTGGGCAATGGATAGAGCCAGTTTCTCATCCCTGATTCTCCATTTCTGCAGCTATAAAATTGGGCCAATGATTTTAGCCCTCCTTATTGTCCTGGGGAAGTCCTGGGTGAGGATGCCACTGAGCCCGCCTGGAGCCAGGAGCCAGTCTGCAGAAACTGCTGGGCCTTGTTCCTACCCTGATGTTTACTTGGCCCAGAGACCCAGTGTGATGAAATTCAGCCCTGTTGCCGAGCACCTTGGGAGGCCTCTCTCCAGGGTCCCTCTGTGCTCAGACAGTGGCCCTTTGTGGAGCAGAGGAGCAGACTGAAAGCGGAGCTGCTGGAAACCCTTTCCTCCCCCCTGACTCCAGCAGCCTCCAACTGCCTCCTCAGGCAGCTACGGACCATCCTGTGCCTGGGTGGCCTTTGCTTTAAGTCCCTTGCTGGGGCTGGCAGAGTGAGGTGGGCCTCTAGGCAGCCAGCACTTCCTGAGATTTCAGTTCCTGCTGAACTACTGACTTGCTAGGTCAATAGCTAGTTGAGTCATTAGCCTCAGTTTCCCAGCTACAAAATTGTGGAGACAGAGTAGATGAATGGCAAAGATTTTTGCAGTTCTGATTTTTATCAATTCTTTTTTTTTTTTTTTTTTTTTGAGACAGAGTCTCACTAGGTTGCTCTATATAGAGTACATTGTCATTAGCATAGCTCACTGCAACTTCAAACTCCTGGACTCACGCCATTCTCCTGCCTCAGTCTCCGAAGTACCTGGAACTACAGGTGCTTGCCTCAGCACCAGGCTAATTTTTGTCCCCGGCTAATGTTTCTATTTTTAGTAGAGATGGAATCTCCCCGTTGCTCAGGCTGGTCTTGAACTCCTGAGTTCAATCAACCCTCCCTTCTCAACCTCCCAGAGTTCTAGGATTACAGGCATGAGCCACCACCTTTTCCAATTCTTTGATCAGAGGGAGGAAAGGGAAGAGCTGGGGATGGGTTGGAGATAGGTAATGGCGTGATGTTCACCATCGATTCACCAGCAGACCAGCAGTCACTAGATAGCGTCTTCTCTGCCACCAGGATCCACTCCTCCCTCCATGTTTCTCCCCCTCTCCTTTTCATCCCATTTTGAGAATTTTTTGTGAAGAGATCTAGAAGCTATTTGATTTAGATTGTCTTATCCCATCTTTTGCTCCTAGGGGGGGAGGACTGTGCACAACCACGGAGGGCACTAGCAGGTCTTTGGTGGAGAGGGAAGGAGGTCAGGAAATAAAAGAGAGAGGAAAGTTAAGAGACAAGGGTGGGATTTAGGGGATCATCAAAAGAGAGCTCAGGAAAGTGAAAAGGAAGGAAAAAGGAAGGGAGAGATGGCTAAAAAGGTAGAGGAGGTGAAAGTGAAAGAAAGAGAGTCTCACACAGGTCTCAGACAAAGAAAAGAAAAGAGATAGAAAATCTCAAAAGAGAGGGAGAAATGAGATGGAGAATCAGAAAGGTAGGAATGGAGAGACAGATTTGAGTCCGCCGATTCCTGTCTCCTTGTTTTGGCTTCCTGACAATAAACTTTTCTTGCTGTAAAAAAAAAAAAAAAAAAAAAAAAAAAAAAAAAAGAAAGGTAGGAATGGAAGAGAAAACCAGGAAGAGAGACTGTGGGAGAAGATCAGAGCCAGGGCAAACATGCAAGTGGGAACATCTCAACATGTTCTAGGTCAACAAACAGTTCAGCTTGGTTGGAGGTAAGAATGTGTGTAGGTAGACAAAATTAGAATCAGATTGTAGAAGTTCTTGAATGCCAAGCTAATGATTTTGAACTTTATATCTCTTATTTTCTTCTGCTCAAATCCTCTGTGATAAGCTGGGTAAGGCCCAGAGAAACATTTTCATTCATCTGTCCGTTCAACAAGGGACTGTGTCTTATCCAACTCTGAATCCCCAGAGTATAGCATAATGTCTGCTTGTAAGAGGTAGTCAGTAAATGCTTGTTAAAATTGAGCACTTGAGGGAAAAAATTGAGCACTTGGAGAAAGCAGCTGTTGAGCCAATCTCCCAGAGAATGTTAGAATAACCATATTACAAGGTAGAGAGCACTAGGTACCCTAAGAGAAGTCCAGATAAGAGTTACAGGAGATCAGAGGAAAGCAAGACAGCCTTCCCTGCCACCTTTAGTAGAAAAGTCCCAAAGAAGATTAAAATAGAGTCAGTCTTGGCCACTTGAATTAAACCCTGTGGCCTGGAACATAGATTCTGTTGGCAGATAAAGGGTTCTGTGTGTGAGTGAAGAGCAAAGAGTTCTCCAAAGAAAAGGGAGGGATTATTACCAGAAGAAGAGAAATTAGAATGGGGCCTGGGCACCACCATCTGCTGTAGTAGAACAAGGTGAGGCATGTATAAGGCACAGTGAGAAGAGTAAAGATCTGTTGAAGAGTGGTAGGAGTTAAAAATAGAGATGAAACACACCACAGAGGGCCTCAAATACCAAGTTATGGGGTTTGGACTTGTCTCTTGAACTGGAGAGCGCCCTCGCTGGAGCTATGCATTGGGAGAACTAATCATGCCACCAAGGTACAGAATGGACTGGAGGCTAGAAAACCAGGACTAATGGGAGATTGTTCCAGAATATCCTCTGATAAAACCCATGCACAAGATCCTTCACTCACAGTGTGCTTTCCACCATAACTTGGTTTGTGTTTTGTTTTGCTCATTCTAGGTCAGAGGACTCAAAAGGATGAAAGGTCACACCTGTGTCAAAAGGGGCTGCCCTTTCCTGGCCAAGTCTCTTTTATTCTCTTAGGGCTGCAACCCCTTCACCTGGGAAATGGATGCTCCAGTGATTTACAAGGGCAGGTGAGCACCTACAAAGGGCTTTGAAGATTTATGGGCAGAGTTTCTGGCCAGATTTCTGAAGAGTGGTGGTATCTGCAGCCCCCATCTCTGGAACCTGACATAATGATGGGAGAAGCAGCTTCAAGGGATCCTGCTTATTTATTTATTTATTTATTGGAGACAGAGTCTCTCTATATTGCCCAGGCTAGAGTGCTGCGGCATCAGCCTGGCTCACAGCAACCTCAAACTCCTAGGCTCAAGCGATCCTCCTACCTCAGCCTCTCAGGTAACTGGGACTACAGGCACGCACCACCATGCCTGGCTAATTTTTTTTCTATATATTTTTAGTTTTCCAGCTAATTTCTTTCTATTTTTAGTAGAGATGGGTCTCGCTCTTGCTCAGGCTGGTCTTGAACTCCTGACCTTGAGTGATCCTCCCACCTCGGCCTCCCAGAGTGCTAGGATTACAGGTGTGAGCCACCATGCCTAGCCTGGATCCTGCTTTTGAGCAAGAGGTGGCCCAGGCCTGTATTCCAGAGTCACCTTTCTCCTCATCCCAAGTATCTCCACAAAAAAAGACTGTAGTGTGGTCTAAGGGGGAGCATAAAACTTTGGTTCTTAGTAGTGCTACTTCCTAGCTCTGGGACTTTGAATAAGTTGCGAAAGTTATCTAAGCCTTTATTTCCTTGTGTGTAAAATGGGGGTTGTAATACTGACTTCCCAGACTCATGAGAATTGAATAAGGTAATGCTAAAATAAGCACTTGGCACAGTGCCACACAAGCCACAGGCACTCAGCAAATGTGAATTCCTATTCATTTTTTAAGTAACAGAGTTAGAGCTAGAGAAGTCTTGGAAATTCCTGGTCCAATCTTCTCATTCTACAGTGGAAAGAGGACTCCCAGGAAGGTTTCCTCTTATTCCATCTAAGTCTCTTCTATCGCAGTATCTGCTGATTCTGTCCTCATCAGAAGCAGAGAACTGACCTTCCTTTGCGCTTAGCTACATAAATCCTATGTGAGTTCTATACCTGTTTTAAAAAGAGCATTTTGGTTCCTCCATTTTTTAACCCAAGAACATTTGCTCTTTGCCCTGCCAAAGGTGTGAGCAATTAGTGCACCATACTCAAAGTGGTCAAGAATATTATAGGAGGATCATATTAGCAACACAGTAGGTAAATCCTAAACAAATCCGGCAATCCTGGAATATCCAAAGGCAATTGCTCTGAATTATTCTTAGATAAACTAAGAAATATATACTATTATTAGTTATTGTATGTGCTTTTTTTTTACTCTACTTAATTTTTATTTTCCCTATGGCAGGGATTCCTAATTCTTTAGCTTTACTTTTTTATTGGATAAAATACATATAACATAAAATTTATCATTTTAACTATTTTGAAGTATATAATTCTGTGGCATTACGTACATTTGCAATGTTGTGTAACCATCACTACTATTTCCAGAACTTTTTCATCATCCCAAATAGACTTTGTGCCCATTAAATAACACTCCTCATTCTCCCCTCTTCCTATCACCTGGTAACCTCTATTCTACTTTCTCTCCATAAATTTGTCTGTTCTATTCTAGATAACTCATATGAATGGAATCATACAATGTTTGTCATTTTGTATTTGGCTTATTTCACTTAGCATCATGTTTTCAAGGTTCTTCCATGTTGTAGTATGTATCAGAATTTTATTCTTTTTAATGGCTGAATACTTTTCCATTTTATGTATATACCACATTTTGTTTATCTGTTGATGGACACTGGTTGTTTCCATCTTTTAGCTATTGTGAATAATGTTGCTATGGACATTGGTGTACTAGGAGCTATCACTATTTTATGCAATCTATAATTAATAGAAATGTAATAGGCAGAATGATGACCCCTAAAGATATCAGTCCTGGGCATAATGGCTTATATTTTGGGAGGCCAAGGCAGGAGGATTGCTTGAGGCCAGCAGTTCAAGACCAGGTTCAGCAACATAGCAAGGCTGTGTCTCTACAAAAAATAGAAAAATTAGTTAGGAATGATGGCATATGGCTGGAATCCCAGCTACTCAAGAGGCTTAGGCAGGAGGATTAATTGAGCCTGGGAGTTTGAGGTTGCAGTGAGCTATGATGATGCCACTGCACTCTAGCCCAGGCAACAGAATGAGACTGTCTCAAAAAAATAAAATATAAAATAAAATAAAATAAAAAATATATCAGTCCAGGCCGGGCGCGGTGGCTCACGCTTGTAATCCTAGCACTCTGGGAGGCCGAAGCGGGCGGATTGCTCAAGGTCAGGAGTTCAAAACCAGCCTGAGCGAGACCCCGTCTCTACTATAAAAATATAAAGAAATTAATTGGCCAACTAATACATATATATATAAAAAATCAGCCGGGCATGGTGGCTCGTGCCTGTAGTCCCAGCGACTCGGGAGGCTGAGGCAGAAGGATTGCTTGAGCCCAGGAGTTTGAGGTTGCTGTGAGCTGGGCTGACGCCACGGCACTCACTCTAGCCTAGGCAAGAAAGCGAGACTCTGTCTCAAATTAAAAAAAAAAAAAAAATATATATATATATATCAGTCCTAATCCTTGGAACCTATAAATGCTAATTTACATGGCAAAGATTTGTCAGATGTTATTAAGCATTTTGAGAATGAGAGATTATCCTGGATTATCAGTGTGGGCTTTAAATGCAGTGAATCCTTTTTTTTTTTTTTTTTTTTTTTTTTTTTTTTTTTGAGACAGAGTCTCACTTTGTTGCCCAGGCTGGAGTGAGTGCTGTGGTGTCAGCCTAGCTCACAGCAACCTCAAACTCCTGGGCTCAGTCAATCCTGCTGCCTCAGCCTCCCAAGTAGCTGGGACTACAGGCATGCGCCACCATGCCCAGCTAATTTTTTCTCTATATATTAGTTGTCCAATTAATTTCTTTCTATTTATAGTAGAGACAGGGGCCAGGCCACCACGCCTGGCCAGTGAATCCTTATAAGAGGAAGGTTTGACCACCTTCCACAGGAATGGAGAAGGCAATGTGACTATGGAGCCAGGGATTGAAGGGATGTGGCCACAATCCAAGAAATGCTGGCAGAGGCTGGAAGAGGCAAAGAATGGATTCTTCCCTAGAGTTTCCAGAGAGAGCGTGGCCCAGTGATAGTGAATTGGATTTCTGGCCTCCATACTGTGAGAGAATAAGAGTGAGTTATTTTAAACCACCAAGTTTATGGTAATTTGCCATAGCAGCTGTAGGAAACTAATATAAGAACTGATAAAATAATAAATATGAACTAAAAATTATGAAAAGAATTGATTGTTTTTGGACAGAATTTAGATCTGAAATCTGAATTAGGAAAATTAGACTTGATAGAAAAAAGGCCTCAAAGTGGCAGAAGCCATAATCAGTAATCAATTTTAGGCCAGGCGCATGGCTCACGCCTGTAATCCTAGCACTCTGGGAGGCTGAGGCAGGAGAATTGCTCGAGGTCAGGAGTTCGAAACCAGCCTGAGCAAAAGCGAGACCACATCTCTACTATAAATAGAAAGAAATTAATTGGCCAACTAAAATATATAGACAAAAAATTAGCCCGGCATGGTGGCGCATGCCTGCAGTCCCAGCTACTCAGGAGGCTGAGGCAGCAGGATTGCCTGAGCCCAGGAGTTTGAGGTTGCTGTGAGCTAGGCTGAAGCCACAGCACTCACTCCAGCCTGGGCAACAAAGTGAGACTGTCTCAAAAAAAAAATAATAAATAAATTTTATATGAACCAAAAAAGTATTGATTCATTGACTCTTCCAGTCAAGTTTTCATGGAAAATAATTGATCTCAGTGAAAATAATTTCATTAAAATAAAAATTAAAAAGTTGGAAACAGTTTTATTATATCATAGGGCTAATCAAAGAAGGAATTAAACTGGCTTATTAGTTGCCCCAGAAAAAAAATGTGCCTTGAAAAATTATTGATATTTATATAATCCTAAACAAAATGTTTGTATTCACAGTCAAACATCGTTGAGGTCAAAATACCTTATGTCCCTTTTCTCAAATCTTTGAGCTTAATTTATTTTCAGAAAATAAAAGCCAGAACATTTCTTCTACGTAAGACCTTGATCTCAGGAATTTCCTTCTATTTAGGGACAGACTCATGACTTTATAGTCCTAGCATGTCCTAGAGGAAAGAACTCTTAGAGACAGCTGTTCACTCAAATCTTTCATTTCACATATTAGGAAACTTAGGTCAGAAAAAGAAAAGGACTAGTCCAAAATCATCCCGTGAATAAAAGTTTCTCCAGAATTATTGGCCCCCTCCCTCCAATATCAATTTCTGACAGCTCTTCAATGGCAGTTTGGCTCTTGTGTGAGGGGGAGGATTTGGAGGCACCAGAAAACCTGCCTCATTTCAGAGCTACTTTGGGTAACACTCTGAACTGATCAATTCCACTCTAAAGATTTGCACTGGCCTCTAAGAAGCACCCTAGCCCCTGCCTCTCTGTGCCTCCTGCCATGGCCTGTCTACACTTTCTCTGGGGTCATCTGCAGCACCCTCCTGCTGGCCTTCTGTTTCAACCACTACCAGTCTGTCCTCCATACCTGACACCACAGTGTTCTTTATTAAGTACTAAATTTAAAAATTATTACAAAAATAATTCAGTTATACCAAAAAGTATAGTGCATATTATTTCACACTCATTAGGATGACTATAATCAAAAGGAGAGACAATAACAAGTGTTATTGAATACTCATATTGCTGGTGGGACTGTAAAATGGTGTATCTGCTTTGGAAGTTCTCAAAAAGTAGAACATAGAGATGCCATATGACTTAGCAATTCCACTGCTAGGTATATACCCAAGAGAAATGAAAATATATGTTCACACAAAAATTGTATACAGATGTTCATAGTATCATTATTTGTAATAGCCAACAAGTAGAAACAACTCAAATGTCCATCAACTAATGAATGGATATATCAACTAATGAATGGATATATCTGTACAATGGAATATTATTCAGCCATAAAAAGGAGCAGAATACTGATTGA